GGGAGAATATTAATTTAGTTATCTGTCTCTTCTACTCAGTTGTGAACACTCTTAAGTGCAGGGATGTGTCTTATTCATCCTTGTATCTTCTGTTTATGGCTTAGCAGTACCTGGCAAAAGAAAGTGATAGACACAATAAGACTGTTTGGGGGATGTTAGCTAAGGGAAAATGTACAAGAAGATATTAGGAGGCAGGGGTATGGTCCGTAATGGAGGTCTCTCACCTTTTGTATAGCTTTTACCAAAATGAAAGAAATGAAGAGACCATGGCACTCACCTCTAGCCATGGTCCTGAACCATTCTACAGGTAAGATGATCAGTCAGTTCACCCTGGGATACCACTCACTCACCTTGGGATACCACTCGCTCGTGCTTGTCCTTTCAGGTACCAAAACCAGAGGAATAAAGAGGCATATCAGGAAAATAAGAGCAGCAGAAACGGATGATGGGAGAGAGAAAGGAAAAGGGACTGTTACGTATAACCACTGAAAAATTATGAGGGGGCTTAAAGACTGGTTGGAGGTTTGACTTATTTGTTTTACAGTGTATACATGTTTCAAAACATCATGTTTTATACTATTAATATATACATTTTTAAATTTATCAATTAAAATTAAAAATTTAAAATACAAGTATGTTTTTATTTTATTTTATTTTTGGGGGAGGTACCAGGGATTGAATTCAGGGGCACTCTACCACTGAGCCACATCCCCAGCACTATTTTATATTTTATTTAGAGACAATGTCTCACTTAGTTGCTTAGTGCCTCGCATTTGCTGAGGCTGGCTTTGAACTTGCAATCCTCCTGCCTCCATCTCCAGTTTGCTGGAATTACAGGCTTGTGCCATTGCACCTGGCCAAAAGTATATTTTTAGATAGAACAAGAAAATGTGTATGATACGTCAAGCTCATTTCAAAACAACAGAGTACATGAAAGTGAGGGAAACAATTAAAAACTTAAAAATGTCTAAAAAATAAAAGGTGGGTATTGGTCATTTTTGTTTGTTTTTTAACTCTATTTAATAATGCAAGGAAGGCAAGTGTAAAGAGATGTGGCTGTGTGGACCCTGACAAATATAAATTAGGTTAAGGTGGTCAGGGAAGCTGAGACTTAGGAGGGAATGGCATTTCTAAAGCACTGGGGTTTGTCAAATTACACTAAGTGCTCACTGGTACTCTTTGTCTTCATTTTCTGTATTAGAAGTTGAAAATATTCATATAGTCTTAATAATGATCTTTCACAAATGTGTATTCATGTCATTTTTACAGTGTATTAATACTTCTAATAAGCATTTTTCTCCCTCAAGTAGGTACGCCTGGCATTAAGCTTACGGCTAGTACCTGATGGACGTTAGCAGTTGTTTCAGCTTTAATATTGACTCATATCTTGATTTATTTCAAACTGAGTGACAGTCTATTACAGGTGATAAAATTTAAGTATGGAAGTGTCTGTGTGATTCATTTTTCTATCCAAGAAATTATTTTCTAACATATTTAAAATGTGAATATTATTGGCTTCCACATGAGCTCTGTAACACCAGCCTCACTTACCTGCATTGTTATGGGCTTACCTTAATGGGACAGGGAGGAGTAGAGTTAAGTGTTGATAAGCTATTCAAGAAAGCAGTGGCCTGTATTCTCCATGCTGCAGTTCCAGAGAAACAGTGACAGGTTACATTGCTAGTTCCTTCATTATGACTTTATTCTACAGTAATGCCTGGGATCTCAGATTTTTTAACCTCATGTTTTCAGTTTTATCCAGAGATAGATTTTCAATGAGGAATAACAGAAGGCTAGATGAAGAAAAGTTGAGCAGAGTAATAATATTATCTGTGTTGTAGAAGAGCAGGAATGAGTATAAATATTTCTTAGTTATGACACAAAAGTTGCAATCGTGCAATCAAAGTTTAACAGTGTGATAAGTTATGTGAGGTTTTTCAGGAACATTATTTGTATTTATGCTAATATGTAGATTATGATATTTTAATTTTTTTTAGTTGTAGTTGAACACAATACTTTCATTTTATTTATTTATTTTTATGTGGTGCTGAGGATTGAACCCAGCACCTTGCATGTGCTAGGCAAGCGCTTTATCATTGAGCCACAATTCTAACCCCAAGATTACAATTTTATCAGTAAAATAAAATGTTTATTCTTCAAATTATAAAGTTTATTTACTTAATCTGTATGACTTAGTTTTTAGAAATCCAATTAAAAACAAGCTCAATTAAAATTTTTATTTTTATTACAAAATAATAATTTAAATATCCTAAAGGATAATTTTATTACTCAAACACAAATTATAGTTCTTTTTTTTTAACCAGATTTAAAAAAGGCATTTTTGGCATTCATGAAAATCTGGATGTCACACATATGAATATTTAGATAGTTGGGGAGAAAGTTAAGAACTCAATAGTGTTTTCAAGGCAGAAGTTAATGTTTTTTGTTTTTATATCATTTTATACATATTTTTGTACATGAAAATTCTTAGAGTATTCACAGCGGGCATTTCACCTTTTTTTTTGGTGATTGAACTTGGGAGCACTTAACCACTGAGTCACATCCCCAGCTCTTTTTTGTATTTTATTTAGAGACAGGGTGTCACTGAGTTGCTTAGGGCCTTGCTAAGTTGCTGAGGCTGGCTTTGATCCTCCTGCCTCAGCCTCCTGAGCCGCTGGGATAATAGGCATGCACTACCATGCCTGACCCAAGTTCACATTCCAATTTTGATTGTCCAGAATTAGAACAGCAGAAGCCCATGGTACTTGGAAGAGGGGCTGTTAGTTTCCACTATGGAAGCTAAAAGGCCAGAGTTAATTTGTCAGGTGTCTACCTTATGAAAGGCATTCTGGGCCTGAATCAGGTTCAACTAGTTTAAATGTTTCCATCTGGATGGAAACAAGATAGCAAGGCACAAGGGCAGTCAAGGCCCCTCCTAGGTGTTCCCTGCATTGGAGGTGAGCCCTGCAGCACTGTAACCTTGGTCCAGGACTTTCAGTGCAGGGGTGTGTGTATACCAGGACCACACCTGTGCCAGGATTTTAGCTATGACTCACTTCCTTTCTTGTTGGCTATTTTTTAGGCTGGCTGTCTATGCTTTTTGATGATTTTTGAAAACTAGCTAATATTCTGTCTCTGCTTACAGAGATTTGTGTTTGTTTTTGCATCTACCTGTTCTAATGAATAATAATTTTCATTGCTGTTTGCTGTTTTCAGTATGCCAGGCATCTTTGTCACAGGTGAATTCATTGTTTACATGCCCTAACTAACTTATTGGTTAACTGAATGTTTTTTTGTGTGAATTGTTTAGGTTCTTAGATTCTCAGAAACATGACTCACTAGATATTTGAATTCCTCCAATTTGTTATTAAAGTCGAAAGCGCCTCTTCTTGACTGCATTAAATAAGAAAACTAGTTCCTTTTGTTTTTGCTGGAGTGGAGCCAAAGGAACCTAAAATGTATCCTGTTTTGCCAGTACACACACAAAAATTAAATATAACCTTTCATTTGCAAAATATTTAGGACACAGAATCCGTTGGTTGGTTTAGGAGTGTTGCAGCTGATCATTCTGGGAAGGATTATGGATTGAGTTGTGTCTATCCAAATGATGTGGAAAGTTCTATGGCAGGAGTTCAGTCTAACCCTAAGTACTGTGAACGTAACCTTAATTGGAAATAGGTTTATGCAGATAATGAAGATGAAGTCATTAGATTGGGCCCTTATCCAGTCTGACTGATGACCTTATAAAAAGAGGAAGTTTGGGTAGAGACAGACATGAGGGAGGAGGATGTAAAGACGTGGAGACAATAGGATCTATAAACCAAGGGTTCTTGGGGCTTCCAGATGTTGAGGGAGAGCCATGGAACAGATTCTCTCTGAGAGTTCTCAGGAGGAACCAACACCGCCAACTTGATCTCAGACTTCTAGGCTCCAGAACTGTGAGACAAAGTATTTGTCATTTGGACCATCCAGTTGTGGTCTTTTGTTGTAGCAGCCCAGGAAAATAATACTAATAAAGGAACATTTTCCTAATTTGGGCCAATAGTTATGGTTGCCAAGCCATACATCCATCAAAAGTCATACTCCCCGAAGGAGCAACTTTTTCTAATTTAACAATCTAAACTTCCTTCTGAGACACCCACCTTACTTTTTTGTGGCAAACTGCTGAATGAATGTTTTTTATCTGCAGTCAGAATGTTTGCATCACTACAAGATTCACTATTACTAATAACATTGTAGCATTAGGTGGTTGGGCCTTTGGGAGATGGGATAAATACCCACAAAAAGGACCCTTGAGTTGGCTTGCCTCTTCTATTATGTGAGAACACAGTGAGTGAGTGCCATCTGTGAAGCAGTAAATGAGCCCCTCACCAGACACCAAATCTGCCAGCACCTTGATCTTGGACTTCCCTGCCTCTAGAACTGTGAGAAATAAATTTCTGTTGTTGTTAAACTATCCATTCTATGGTATTTGTTATAGCAGTGCAAACAGATTAAGATAGCTACCAAATGTTTGTTTTTTAATTTTTATTAACTCTAAGTTGTTTTAATATGGCTGATAGAGGTGTTAACAAAGTCAGTCTACTGCATTACTGGAATTTTTGAGAAAGATTCTTGGGCATATGACCAGTTCATTTAAGTTAACTATAATCCACACCACTAGCTCATGACCAGTTCATTTAAGTTAACTATAATCCACACCACTAGCTCAGACATTTTGTTTTTAGGAAATCATGTACAGGCCTCAAAACCATTTCTTTATTAGATTCTGTAAACAAAACCAGAAAACACAGTAGTCTTCCTTTAAAAATTACTTTTCTCTCTTAGAAATGGCATGCATTTTTCTTCTCATTTTTGGAGTGGAAGGAGGGAAAGAAGGGTTACCAGATGGCGAAGAGCTTATGATAAGAAAAATGATACCAGTGAAAAATTTTCAAGAGTTTTTCTTCAATCTGTTGTCTTGGGTTACAGGTATCTGAGAAGAAATAACCACCAAAGACGAAGGAGCATATTTCAATTTTATTGTTTGGAATCTACAATTACAAAGTGGTCCAAGGTCATTTCTCATACCCCACTGCACAATACATATACACATATTTAGAAAACTTACAAAAATGTTCTTTACAAAAATGTGCTCTAAGACTTATCGTAGTTTACTGGCCAAGCATAAAAAATATACCCCAAATGCGCACCTTTCTCTATTTTTTTTGTACATTCTTATTGATATTTATTGATTTATAGCTAATCTTATATGCACAGAACTAAGCATTATTTTACTGCAACAAACTTTATAAAAAGGTTATAATAAAGTTTAAAAGTACTTAATATTTGTAAACACTGAGAAACAAACATACTCCCTCTCCAAATTTCCAGCTGTCCTGTGCTCGCTATTTTTAAGGTGAAGGTTCCCATTGCTTGTTGAATTAATGATGCCATCTAAGCAGGCTCACCTGCACCCACTACCACCTTAGGGAAGTATTTGTTCTTTCATCAGTATGGGTATTTGCTGAGCATCCAGTCTGGGGCCCCCTAACTGCAGATGTTCTCATATCTGGACTTGAGAGTGACTTACAGTGATTGTTTATTTTTTGAGGCAGAGTGACTTCAAATATCTGTGTACACAATTTTTAAAATCAGTTGTCTTCCAGAACTCTGGATTTTCCATAATGTGTGTAGTGTGACTAGAGTAAGTACAGTGCTGGTATCTTGGGGAGGGACAGGTGCAGGTTTAGAATTAGTTTATTTTACAAAGTTCTCTTCTCATGACACTCATGTTAAGAAGAAAGAAGGAAAGAGCACAGAGGCAGAGCTGATGGAATCTCATAAAATTAATAACAGCCAATACTGTTTGTCAAGCACCATGCTGATCCTCTCTGGCAAATAGTTATCTAACATCTAAACACCCTTTATAAAGCTCTTTCTTTTCTGTAATCTAAGTCAGTCTTGGCATCCTGTTCTTCCCTCCCCTTTATCTCCTGTCCCTTGACTGCCTTTTGAAACCTCTGGTCTTTCCCATTACCTGCTTCACAGTTTGTTTGCTGACTCATCAAAGGTACATAGTGATGAGACAGAGAGTGCTATCCTGTGTTTACTCATTGAACTTGCTACTACAGCAGGAGGCAAAATGGGCGTGGGCTGGGGCCAGTTGAGACCAGAAGTAAAGACTTCTCATCCATGAACTTGGGGCCATTGATAGTCAGAAAGAGGAGACTATTGAGTATCAGACTGACAGCAACTTGATGTATTTGAAATAGCATTGGATTTTAGGTCTGGTCTTGGATGTGTCCCTTAGCCTCCATCAAGTCAACCCTTTTCTGAGCTTCTGTTTCCTCATGTGTCAAATGGGGAAAACCCCCCAAAGAAAGTAATGGGTATTAAATGAGACCATGTATTTAAAACTTCCTTATAAATTATTAAGTTCTATGTAAACATAAGTTGTTGGATTAGAAATGGATATAAAGGAAAAAATAATTTTTATGGTTTAAAGTTCTATAGTTTAAATTCTTATTAATATTTGGATATGTAACTAAATATGGTTAGGTTTTTCCTGATAAAGCCCTATTTATTTTCTTTCTCTATCTGTTCACTAAGTTGCTGATCCTGAGTGATGATATCAGTCTCTTGTGTTCACAATGCTCTAAGCTTCAGCTTCTAGGAGCCCACGGGTAGGTCTGTGCTATCACAAAGCCAGGTCCTAAGAGACAGGTCTGAAAATCTCTCAGAAAAAAAGTCAGTTTCACATTAATGGCAAGGAGATTTTGTTGACTATTGGTATAAAACAAGGATCACTGCCAAAAATGAAAGAAATATTAAAGAAGAACTTCCATGGCAATGACTTCCTGCAGAAAACTTGATCCGACCTTCAACTGCTGGATAAATTACTTTCATTTTTAAGATGTATTGAGAAACCACGTTGATATCTTGGTCACCTGGAAAAATACATATTTTTTTTAATCTACAGAGAAAGTAATTATCAATTTACAGAGAAAAGGGATGTAAAAATATATTTCTTTAAAGCCCTTTGTAATTATAAAAGGGAAGTTAATTCCAGCAATAATATGTCTTAGAAAAGAACACTGATGATTATAAATGCAAAGGATTTGGTGTTGATGTTCCAGATGTGAAATGTGCCTGTTGGTCAATGTTGGGTAACTGGGAGAAGTAGAGATATCTCAGATCTAAGATGTCTCAAGAGAGATCATGACATATCCTTTGAACAAAGGGCATTAGGGAACTGGGTCAAGAGCAAATAGTTGAGAAATAAAAGTGGTTTCCTTTTGCTTGCCTACTCAAAATTATTTTCACAGAATTGATGGGATGGTGGAGGTTTCATTTCCAAAAGAGGGAAGAAATAATAAAGAAATACTACTTTATAGCTATAACATACCCATGGAAACCCAAATTTATCTAGAAATGAGCACTCCCAAAGGTAAAGAACTCTCTGAGTGGTTCTCACCCCTGGGTCATTACATTACAATTGCTGGAAGATTGTAATTTAACCTAGTTAAATTTGAATCTCTTAAGAGCTAGGTCTAGGGCATTGGTATTTAATTTAAAATGCTCCTCAAACTATTCTAATGTGTAGAAAACCCTTAGGTCCCAGAGCTTCCTGGACTTCTGTAATTCTTCCAACAGCCATCAGTGTGGAGCTCAGTGATGCACAGCCAACATCCTCTTTGTGTCATGTGAGGCTTTGAAGCCTGCCTTTCAATCTTCTATCAAGGAACAGATAGAAGGGGACACACCTCTTCTCCCACAAAGGTTGCCTCCTTTGGCCTGCCTCTGCTTTTACCCTCCATTTCCTACTCTCCTCAGAATAAACAAATAAAATGGCAAGCCCACCATAGTAAAGCTAAGGAGAAACCTGGGTGAACTTCCCAGAGAGGTAAAGAAGCTGTATGTGTGTCGTGAGTGTGCTGCTCTCTGCCCTAGGAAAAGGAAGGGGAAATGAGTTTTATGTCAGTGGACTTCAGGAACGTGGGATGGCTCTCAACTGGATTTCCAAGAATGGGGCTGGTGTATAAAGATACTCAATGAGAAAAATGTCATCTAACATCAGGTATGGGTTGTTCTTATAAAATTTCCTTTAATCCACTGTGCTGAAGAGAGGGACTTACCCATCCTCTCCTACTTGACCTGTTCACAGTGAAAGCTAATTAAAGAAAGAAAATTTAGATTATTTAATATGATGGTCTTCCATGTAAAATCTAAAGTTCCAGAGATGTGATTTTTCTATAAATGCAAGACTTATTTATATTTCACACTTTAAATAGTGGCTTAGAGGTAGTTAAAAGTTTTAAGCATTTCTGTTTTAAAAGTAGGTTTTCCCTGGGTTTGGATGGATATGTTTGCCTTCCTGGATGCAGTGATGCTGTTTTCCAACAAACAAAGCAAACCAAGAGGGAGTCAGCAACATAGCAAAGTACCACAAGTAGCTCCTCTTCCCAGCCCAGTTCTGTAGTTCCTGAGTACCTCTGGGATAAGGAGAGGAAGAGACAGGTCTACTTACCAGAGTCATGTTTCAATAATTCATCCTTTATCATCTGGAATCCATCTCCACCATTGGCCAAGTAGTTTGGGAGGGTCACCTTATATACCTCATCCATTTTAAGAGGCTCGTAACTGGGTACTCGACACTTAGTGCAAAGGACATCTAATTGGACCACTCTGTCCCCAGGTTTTCGAGAAAGATCATATACCACATGGATTCCTAGAAAATAAATGAATCTATATGTTTTCACGGGATCCAACCAGAGACTTCTATTAACTAAGAAGGGGATTTTGGCCTACATCTGGAATTTGGAACTAGGCTTGGTTCTCCATTAGTTCAAACTTAAGTGAAATTTCATCAAGGGAATGGACGTGACACTGCTGCTGCCCTTTCTTGGTTAGCTTCATCCTTGATACCCTCTAGGAGACGTGAGAACCACAGGAAGGGAAAATGGCTCTAGATTAGAATGGGCAAGGTTGATTCTGCAGGGGGAAACCACAACTCTTTCCTCACCCCCAGTTTTTAAATATTGAGTAATTGTTCCAGTAACTTGTGGCTTGGAAAATCAGAAACATATGAGAGGTACAGAGTATTCATAATAATTTTGAAGACTAAAACGTAATAAATAGGGATTGGGTGATTTTCACAAAAGAATGTAGCTACCCAGCACTTTGCCAAAACTATCAGACCTGCTGTTTCCTTAGCTCCCTCCTGGGAAAATGCCTGGATGTCAGGTTACCCTATAGACAGTGGGCCAGGACCCCATCCTGCAGCTGCTCAATCCTGCAGCAACTTGTTCTGCAAAGGGAAGACTCGCCAAAGCAAGTCAAGTGGGGCCACTGTGACCTAAAGGCAAAAACTGGGTGCAAAATATGGTCTTGGAGTAAAATAAGATGATTAAGGATTAATTCACTGCTCTGTGAAATTAATTATTAGAGAAATCATTTCAGAAACCCTTACTGATATGACAAGCATTTGTTTCTGTTCAATATTCAGTGTAATCCAAGAAAATAGTGAGACAGTTTTTCTCATTGCACTTGATACTTGAGGACTTGCCAGGTCATAGTAGGATTAGAGTCAGGTTCCAGTGCCTGTGCAGGCTTCCCCTCCCAGACACTGCATTCCTATGAGCCTCCCCATGGTTCCAGGCAATTAATGACTAGAATAGAGGAGAGTTTTTTTTTTTTTAACAAAGAATATTGAATGTTTAAACAACTAAGATTTTAATAGACCTTAAGGCAAAAGACCTGCTTCATGTTTAGTGGGTCAGTTCCTGTGGAGGGCCCATCTAAGATCCAATTCAGATTTAGCAAATATTGCCTATTGTTTGGGGGCTTTGATCCTAGCCTAATCTCAGTGGTCTAAGAGTCCATGACCATTGAAAAATGAGGTAAAGGTGTTGGGTGGGGAAACCCCAAACAAGCCTGGTCACAGAGGTCCTGTCTTGGTGAGCACAAAAATGAGCCAACTATCAAGAAATCCTGTATCACCTTGGATGGGTGACTTACCGCCCACCTGTAGGAACTCTCCTGTGGACTGGCCGTATCGATACACACTGTGCTCAAAAGCCTTCTTCAGGGTGGAGCCTTTTAATTGGACCAAGTCAAATGTGCCTCCAAAGGGCAACACAGCAGCCAGGTTCTCCCAGGTAATCGTGCCTGAAGGCAATCCCAGATGAGGGAAGAAGGAAAGTAGCTTGAGAAAACTCTTTACCCTAAGACAAATTTCTCAGGGTCAGCAGAGGAGGTTAGGGGGATATGAGGCTGTTAGAGCAACAACTATGGAAGGAATGGACTGAAAAGCCTTTATTCTACAGTCCACATTGAGCAGGGGTGGAGCTCACTAACAGCTGTGGCTTAGCCTTGGATATCCAGGTTTAGGGCTGTATCTCTAGTAGGTTGTTATCCTTTGCTCAGTTTCTCTGGACAGGCAGTATGTCTCTGCCACCTGTCTCTGTTTGACAATGAAATGAGCTCTGGGTCTTACACTAATAATGATTGGATTTGACAGTATATCAAGAGTGTCATGGATATATCTGTCTTGTCAATTTGTTTTACCATATGATATAATCTTGGATATCTGTAAATATGCTAAAATACCAACTTAAACCAATTGTATATCTTTTCTAGCACAAGAGACTGGTAGTTATATCTTTCTCTTTCCAGATGCCAAGGTGGAGGCTGTCAATAATTTGCATAAATCAGCAGCAATTAGTATTTAGCTTTGCAAGTCAGAAATGTAGACCAAGCTTGGGTTCTGCTAACCCTCACTGCTGTGTCTATGTGTGAATACATATGAGAATGCATGTGTGTGTCTTTTGGACTCACAGCTAACCCAAACCAAGACACTGACATTTTGCTACATGGCTGACTGCACAGGTGAGCAGAGGAGTATCAGTGCAGGGACCTCAGAAGGGAAGTGGGTCAGAAAGCCAGGGATGCTGGGCCTGGAGAGCATACCATTGTTCTGTTCATCAATTGGTGACCGGATGCCACCTCCATTTAAAATGCACATGGACACATGATTCCAGAACATTTCATCTGGGTGTCTAAGGTTGTTGTTAATCTGCAATAATAGCAAAAATATACATTAGTTGTTTTGAGTCTTCTTCCTCAGGATCAGTTCCAGGAATCTGGTTAGTTCTCCTGAGAAAATAAAACTGTTCTTTCCCTGCTTCTCTGTTCCCAGAGATTCCTCAACTGTCATTAGTCAGAACTAGTTTTATGCGATATTAGTCATAAAACAATTATTAAACTACTTATCTTTAACTAGTTTATTTATCCTCTGTTAATCAGAAGCAAAAATATCATGTTGTGACCAGTCCCATTTTAGACTCTTAGGAATGGGAAGCTCTTGGCCCCCTCTCCTAAAACCCCTGTCCTTTCAGGCTGGTGGGCCTTAGCAAAATGGTCTCTCAAGGTGTAGTCCTGGTGTTGAGATGGCTCTAGTGTGGACTGGCCTGCAGTGCTGCTCCTCATAGTCTCCTTCAGGACAGGCAGGGACCTCAAGCCCGCTCGGTACAAGACTTCATGCTTATCAGAAACCAGCCTCCATGTGTATGTCCCTAGCCAGGTCCCAACCTGGCAATTTTGGAGACACAGAGAAAGTGTTCTAAAAAAGGGAAATCAGATCCATTCTGACTTTTATTTTATAAAATATATGTTTAATTTTATAAAATATGTTTAGTTACAAGAAATAAAATGATTTAAAAAAAATACAGCCCAGAAAGTAAAAGTTCTCTTATATTTGCCCCTGCCTTTTTAACAGAGAGGTAAGCCCGGCTAACAGACTGGGGTGCTTCTTTAGATTTTTCTCTAAACATGTACAAACTGGCTTCCCTCACACTAACTGCAGGATGCTGAGGAGCCAGTATGGTTCTTATCTTTAAAAGCATGAATGTTGTCATTTACTTGGCAAACCTTTATTGGGTGTGATTATATTCTAGGCACAGGGCAGTGGGCACTACATGCTGATCCCTGACAAAGGAACAGACTCCTGGGTGCCCCTGTGAGCCTGTGGGAGTGGTGTATCTGACCTGGGAGACCTCAGTTCAGCATGACTCCCAGGAAGCTACCAAGGCCAGTCTGCCCCCACACAAATGCTCCTCAGGGGTAATCTTGTTCCACTCTTGGTAAAGGACTTATTATTATGATAATAATTGTGCTGTCATTTGGGGAAAGAGGTTTCAGAGACACAAGGTCAGGTTCTCTGAAGCCAAGTGAACAGATCAGAGAAAATCAGTCTTGCCAAGTTAGAGATAAAACAGATGTGTTTTATCTCTCTTCAGGTTGGCTGAGTTTATCTGTGTCCTTAGCTCATCTTACAGAAAGAAAATAATACCCCAAATTCAGACATTCAAGAAGGACACTTTAAAATAGAGGTTTTAATTTCTGTAAAGTAATTGTCACCCAATGTGGTCCAGGCACCTTGCCACCTTACTCAGTGCAAAATCAGCCAAGCTTTTGTCTTTTTTTTTTTTTTGTAAAAGAAAACCCCAATTCTGCAACTATCAGTTTGTCCCTAATTGCATCTTCCTTCCTCTCCCCATCTTCCTTCCCTCCCTTCTCTGCCCCTGCAGTGGACTCACCATAGCATCACAGATCAAGTTGCCCATGTTACACTCTTTACGGCGGCATGATTGAGTAGAGCCATCCAGATAGACAATCGTTCTCCCCAGTTCTTGGGTAGAATAATTATCCAATTTTATTCTCCATTTGTTAATGTCTGCTTTGATGCTTGCATCTAGAATAGAAAAGAAGGATTGAAGGAGGGAGGGGGGCGAGGGAGGAAGCCTGTAGTTAAAGCAGATCTCACAATGGGGAAATTCTGGAGGAGAAATCAGATTTTATCCAGCTTACCTACTGTGAGTACACATTTCTTAACCATATGTGTGTACGTTTTGGGTTGGCCATGAAATTTCCTTAGGAACATCTATTTTGTTTCTGAGTCCCAGACAAAAAAAAATAAGAAAGACACGACTTCATCTGATGAATAAAGAAACTGAGGACCACTGGACCTGGGCATCTTGCCCATGGCACACAGCCCCTTACTGGATGGGGTGCCAGGATTTGAGCCCTGCTCTTCACCAGTTGAAGCCCTTTGGTTTAATAATTAGCTCTTCTCTGAGCTGAGAGTAGCTTTTGCTTGTCAGAATCAAGCTTTTTAAAAGGCAGAAGAAGCCATGAAGTACAAAGTCTGATGTTGAAAGGACTTGAATAAGCAAATGGGGATTTTTGGCCTTTGGGAGTTTTAAATTTCCTTATCTATAAAGGGTAAACTCAAGGAAGAAGCTAGATTTTTCTATTCTCCTGAAAACATTAAACAAAGAAAGGGTAAAATCTAGCCACCTATTTTTTTGAACTGGTAGAATATTCCTCTGAATTTCACATACCTTCAGGAATGCTGCTATTCAGAAGAATAGGATTTCCATGTGAAGTGATGACATCTCCCTTTTCATCAAACTCAACCTTCAAATAGCCTAGGTATTTGCCAAAAGCATAGGCCTGGACCACAGGAACCTTCCGCCCATCATCAGAGGTGACTATAAATGGGTACTTCCCAACAGGCACCTCTGTACAAGGTGCAGTGCCTGAAATAAAAGAGCCAAAGCTGATCAAGTTAGTCCTTGTATGCGGCTGGCTGCAGGCCAGCAGGCCCCTGGCAGATGACAGTGAGTTTTAAATTGATGATTCACCAGCTGCTGTTCCACATAGCTGTTCTTTCAAAGCCCTGCCTGGGTATTTGCCCATTTCTGAATGCCCCTTTTGGCACATGAATTTTTCCATTCTCAACTCACCAGGCATTTACTAAGTTCTTCCTAAGTCTAGGGCATTGTGCTGGGAGCTCTGGGGCCCCAAAGATGGAATATTGCTAAAATGATCCTACCTCCTTTCTGGCTCTGGCTCCATTCCCCCTAGCTAGATAGATGAGCCACACCACCTCACTTTACTGCACTTCACTTTCTTTGCCTGTAAAGTGGGCAAAATAACAATTCTTATTTCAAGAATCATTGAGGGCTGTTGAGACTCAAAATATCAAAGCTTCCTAGCATGGTGCCTGGCGGCATAGTGGATACGCAACACAGTTCTTTCCCTTAGAAAGTGATGGCAATTTCTAGAAACTCTGGGCACACGATCAAGAGCTTAGAATCATTCATGGAAGATGAGCAGAAATGGCAAAGACCATCTTGGGTTTTGTTAAATTCTCCATCCCCTCAGATGCTGTTTGGAAGAGCCGTGTTCAGTAAGTGCTGCACTCTTTCTTTCCCAGCTAAACCCTCACACCTATCATATTTTGTAGGTGTTTTGTCTCAAAGGGGGCACCAAGGAGAGCTTGGAAGCTGTCAATCACCAGAGGCTTCCTACACATGGGCTTGCAGGAGGGTAAGTGTGGCCATGTAGGGAGCTTGGGGTGCCCAGCGTCTCATCACTTGGCACATTTAAATTCTTTAACTACACCCCTCCTTAATGCACATGGTAGTTCATATCTTACCTCCACAGAAGTAATGACATAGCTGGATCTTCTTGGAGACTATAAAGATACCCTTGACCCCACTGCTGTTTCTGTTACCTTCCTTATCACACCCACGACTAGTCTTTCCTACTAGATGTTTACAGAGGGTCTAGAGAACTTCAGCATATGTTGATTACACACATGCCCCAGTTCTGAGAATGGGCCATGTGCCAAGCCCTGGGCTATATCTCATTTAGTACTCCAACTTTCCCATGAAGCAGGTCCTATAATAAGCAGGTCACAGACGAGAAAACTGTCATAGGTGAAGAGCTCAGTGTCACACAACTAGTATGTGATAGGAAGCTGATTGAAAACCAGAGCTATCAGACACTATATCTTATGTTTTCTCCACAACCCAACACAGCCTACCATGTGTTATTTGTATAAAGTCTGCAAGTTGATTGCCAAATGTCACTTACAAAATCACAAGCAAACCCAGTTTTGCACCTTCGTGTCCCCAGCTCTTTTTCTTCACCTAAGACACACTGGGGTGGCAGCCCCCTTCCAGGGTAATAACCATGGGGCACATGGTTATACTCTGTCTACACAGAGCCACATGTTTGTCTTTGGAAACCTGACTCATCTTCTGGGAAGGAGTGAAACTGTCCACCAGATCCTGTTCCAGTCATCTAGCTAATAACTCCTTCAGGAACCAAACAGAGAAGTGGTGGAGCTGTGGACTGACATCTGGAGTTGGGAAAAGAGGCGTATGGTAGCAAAGTACAGTGTTTGAAGGAACCTCAAGGCATCCTGCCCTGGGAGCCTGTGATCTGCACAACTGTCCTGGTATCACATGGTAACAGACAGAGGTACCAAGGGACAGACAATTGCAAATTACCAGCACCTCACTAACAAGAAACAGCTGTTGCTAACTTCGAAGTCCTGTTATCTTGCTTCCTCTGTGAAGAAAAGATGAATCAAGAAAAGTCTTGGAACTTTACTTTTAAAAAAAGGCGCCCAACTGGAGATCAGTGAGAATCTCGTTCCATTTCCTTAAAGCGGACAGGAAGATGTTGGCTTGTGACAGTAGCAGGTGACCTGATGTATGGTAGAGGAGAAGGGAAGATGAAAATTTTAATTGTCCTCATTCTGTTTGTCCTGTTTTCCTTTAGGTCAAAGCTGGGGTCTGCTCTGTATTTCAGGGGGTCAGGGGGTTTGTCTTTCCTTTTCTGAAGGCAGGTAATTAGAAAGGTGTAGTTCCCCAAACTTCCACAAGGTGGCGGAGAACGCCCCTTCCAAGAGGGAAAAAGTGTAGTTGTTAAAATCCGTCTGGCAGTTTCCTGGAAACCCCAAAGAATGGCAAGCCTGACTATTTTTTAGTCTTTATTTTTCTGTCTTCCATAGAAATATCTGAACTTAAACAGAATGTAAAAGTTATGAATCTGAAATTTGGTCAAGTACCTCATCAGCTCATCATGCAAACAGGAGTTAGCAAACCCAGCTCCCATCGGACTGGCAACATTCTCTAGTTACAAAAGACCCTGATGTTCCTCTTATTAGAAAAAAATATGTTCCCTCAGTATCTTAAAAAGATCTAATCAGGAATAAGGAGGATGCTTCCTGTGTGGCTGAGGCAATAGCAGGTCTAGTTTGGCTAATCTCAGACTCCTCCATAGCAGAGCCCTGTCTGCTTCGTACATTTGACAATCTCAGAAAACTACTGGCAGAGAAAACAATCCAGGGCTTCACATTTTCCACACCATTCCATGCCATTCTGCCAAGGATTCTTACATCCAAAATACTCTGTCTACACAGAGCCACATCTTTGTCTTTGGAAACCTGACTCATCTTCTGGGCAGGAGTGAAACTGTCCACCAGATCCTGTTCCAGTCATCTAGCTAATAACTCCTCCAGGAACCAAACAGAGAAGTGGTAGAGCAGTGGACTGATATCTGGAGTTGGGGAAAGAGGCGTATGGTAGCAAAGTGCAGTGTTTGAGGGAACCTCAAGGCATCCTGCCCTGGGAACCTGTGATCTACACAACTGTCCTGGTATCACGTGTTAACAGAGGTACCAAGGGGCAGACTTTTGATGTGGTTTTCAACTGCCTGAATTATAAGATGATTTAAGGAAGTCTGTGCTATTGTAGCAGAATGATTTGGGGAGACATTTTAAAACAAAATTATTTCCTCTAATTCCCTTGGAAAGATATTTTTCTTATATTGATTTTCTCCTCTCACAACCTTTCCCTAATCTATTCCCTCATCTTTAATATTCCTTACTTATGGTACTCTAAATTCTTAAAAAAAAAAAAAAAAAAAAAGCCCTCTCCTGTCCTCAGCTCAAGAGGTAACATCAAAAAAGAAAATGCAGATGCTGATTCCAGGAGGTCAAGATTCCCTTTGATGTGTTAAGGAGGCAGTGGAGACTCTCACTGAGAGGCTGAGGGGTTCTTGGGAAGAAGATGAATTCTACTAATTTCCCGTCTTTTTTTTTTTTTTAATTTAAGTTGTTGATAGACCTTTATTTATTTATATGCGGTGCTGAGAATTGAACCCAGCGACTCATACATGCCAGGCAATTGTGCTACTGCTGAGCCCCACTCCCAGCCCAAATTTCCAGCCTTTTGTCCACTTTTCCCCTCTCCTCAAAGTTGTCCATTCCCTTGAGCCCATGAAGATGGAGATTTGAGACAGGGAGGTCTCCTCTGTCCTCCTCCAGGCTGGCTTTGAGTCAAACCTGTTTCTCATCAGCACTCACCCCCTGGGTTGTAGGGGAGCATAACTAGTGTGACCTGTGTGATCTGCGATGAAGCCTTCCTCCTGCACACTGTGGCTTTGACACATGTGAGAACCAACTCAATGACTTCTGAATTGGGGCCCTCATAAAAAGGACTGGATAAAAACAATAGTAATCAACCTATTACAAATCATTGTTTCTAAGAGCCTCAAGCTTCTCTTTTACACACCTCAGAAGGGCTCACTCCCATCACACACTGCTTTCCCATTACACACCGCTTTCATCAGTCTCCTTGCCACCATCTCCCCACCTAAGCCACAGTCTTGGCCACTCTTATCTCCTGACAGGGCTACTGCCAGCGCTTCCTCGCTGGCCTCTTCTTTGCTTCTTTCTAATCCAGTCCCCACACAGTAGCCTGAGTGATCCTTCTAAAACACACATATGATCATGTACAACCTGGTTCAGATATTCCCTACTGGCCACAGGGAAAACATTGACCATAATACGAATACCATAAACTGTAAGGCCTAGACAGGGTGGCCTTTTCTTATTTCACAGCTTCTTCTAGAACATCGACTCTGCCCTTCAGCAATCTTGTCCTCTTCCTATTCCTGGACCATACCCAACTGCCCAAGAGCCTTCACACAGGAAGTAAGACTGGAGCCAGAGGCCCATGGGTGAATTAGTCACATCTTTTCCCTTCAACTTATTAATCATGGGGAAGATGGAAAAAAGTAACAATACCCAACCTTACAGGGTTATTTGGTGGATTAAAGAAGATAATGCACCAGGAGAAGCCTGACTCAAGGTAAGTGCTCAATAAAGACTAATGATGATTATTCACCCTTGGGGTTTGTCTTTCTGATCATGGTCCTAATGTCAGTTCCTCAGGGAAACACTCACTGGTAATTCTTTTGGTCAGCTTCTCCTAGGGTAGGCTCTCACAGCATTTCTTTTTTTGTCGTGCCAGGGATTGAACCCATGCCAGGTAAGCGCTCTACCACTGAGCCACACCCCTAGCATCTTGTACTTCTCTCTTCACAGCATACTTTGTAATCACATATACCACAATTTATTTAATTATTTGCATAATTATGCATTAAAAATGTGACCAAGGTCAGTATCCCCTTCAAGATAGGTTCCATGAGGGCAGTGGAAACAGTGTCCCCAGGGTTTGCCTAGCACATAGTGTGTGTTCAGTAAGTATTTGTTGAATGATTGCTATGATTTGAATGTCTCCCTCGAAGTTCCTATGTTGGAAACGTAAGCCCCAAGGCAACAGTGTTGAGAGGTGGGACCTTTAAGAGGTGATCAGGGCATGAAGGCTGGCCCTCCTGTGGCTGGAGCTTGTTATATAAGTGAGTGCAGCTGCTCTTGCTCCCTCCTGCACATTCTGTT